CGCGAATCATCCTTGGAAGGAATCGGTGTTCTTTAGCAAGGATTTGCGGTTTATCAAATCTGATGTAGTGAGGGGGGGCGATCCTGTACGTGTTCACAGACTGCAGACTTCCCGGAGCGTCGATTCTTCAAGCCGCTGAAGAAGATTGGTCAGTTTTTACCATCAGTCAAGTGTAATGTCCCTCTGCAAGATGCAGGAGTGTACAAGCTTGATTGTGAATGTGGTCTCTCCTACATAGGACAAACTAAAAGATCAATAAAAACCCGCGTTAAAGAACATATAGATGATGTGAAGAATCGACGCTCCGGGAAGTCTGCAGTCTGTGAACACGTACAGGATCGCCCCCCTCACTACATCAGATCTGATAAACCGCAAATCCTTGCTAAAGAACACCGATTCCTTCCAAGTTCGTCCAGTGATTTCTTCATGTCAGCCATCACGTTATGAAACCGATTGTTCACTTGATCGATTGGGGTTTCAGCTTTCCACAGGCGGTTGTCGTGTTGAGCAACCATATCCTTCACCACCCTTATCTCTTTCCCGAAAGTAGCGTGAAAGTCCTTCATAAAGAGCATCTGCTCTTTCTTATCTCGTTTGCGCTGCTCTTCCAAACGACGAGCCTGTTCCTCCTGTCGGCGGGCCTGTTCCTCCTGTCGGCGAGCCTGTTCCTCCTGTTGGCGAGCCTGTTCCTTCTGCTGCTCTTTCAACCAACGGGCCACTGGCCACTAGGAGCTACTGACGGGCCGGCCCCCGTAACCGGAGGCTGGCTCTCGGACGTCTGCGGCGTTGCATTACCAAATCGTCTCTTGTCCGTCTCCTGCTGGCGTTGACTTCGGGTACGGACACTGTACATGAACTTATATATAAAACTCCGATATTGATATATTTATAATTATCGACATATTGAAAATCGGTTATTTTAAAAATATCAACATCCCTAGATTGAACTGATCAGTTGGAATGATCAGTTGAACTGACCGTGTGTGTCGTCCATTAGAATTATAACAACTGGGTTCGTATTTCATATCAATGCCTGGTACACGTAGTTTGTTAATAAAATAATTTTCAATTATTGTAAGTTTTATTACTATTTAAAATTTAAAGGCGCTCTTGTTACTTTTTTAGCCCTCAATAGACAAAGGTAAAATGTACCATACAGCCTATATCGATTTTATACTTTGTGTATACATTATGTTATTTTTTTCCTGTAGGTGACACTACCTGTTAAAATATTAGAGCGCTAATTTTAAAACACGTAAATAATACTTTAAAAAGTCAGGAATTCAATTTTTCAACTTTTTTGTGTGTTGAAATTGGGCCGAAGCAGCTGTGAACAAATATTTAAACACAGGAATCACACTGGAATCGACGCCATTTATTTAACGATGTCTGTCCAACGTTTTAAATTTCTTCTAAGAAATATACGATTTGATGATATTAATGATGGCAAAGATCGTGTTATTATTGATAAATTAGCTGCAATACGTGAAGTTTTTGAGATGTTAATCATCAAATTTCAACAATATTTCATTCCAAGTGCAGAAATGACATTGGACGAGCAGCTTGTGGCCTTTAGGGGACGTTGCCTTTTTTAGGCAGTACATACCTAGCAAACTCTCAAAGTATGGGATTAAGATATTTGCCCTTGTCGACGTTCACTACCCATACACATACAATTTAGAGATTTACGCCGGCATGCAGCCCGTGGGACCTTTTCATGTGAGCAATGAACGGGCTGACGTAGTGATGCGAGTAGTTCAACCTATCCTTGGGAAAAACCGCAATGTTACCATGGATAATTGGTTTTCGTCGCTAAATGTTGCAAAGCAACTTTTCGAGAACAAAACTACAATGGTCGGCACTGTAAGAAAAGATAAAAGAGAAGTTCCTAAGGTGTTTCGGGTGGCACGAGGAAATTTAGTTTATTCCTCAAAATTTGGTTTTCACACACCCTGCACGTTGGTATCTTATATACCAAAGTCCAACAAAGTAGTAATCGTCATGTCTACAATGCATAACGATGCGACGATCGATAACAGTACAGGAGATCACAAAAAACCCGAAATGATCACGTACTACAATCGTACAAAGAATGGTGTTGATTTGGTAGACAAAATCTCCTCGTTATACGACGTATCTAGAAATTCAAGACGATGGCCTCTAACAGTTTTTTTCGATTTACTCAATTTGAGTGCTTTGAATGCTTTATACATATACACTGCCAACAAAAATTTTGCAAAGGTAGTACGACGTGATTTTATTATTTCCATGGCATTGGCATGGATGCAACCATCAGCTCACAGAAGATTGGAACAAAAGGCATTACCACGAAGTCTCGTGTTCAAAATAAAAGATTTTCTGAAAGTTCCCCAAGCAGAAAATCAGCCAAGTACCTCGGCATTATCGTCAACTGGCAGACTAGGTCGCTACTATGACTGCGGAAGATCGCGCAATAAGAGCACTCGTCGATCATGCACAGCATGTAATAAATTCGTTTGTCCGGATCATTCCAAATACATATGTTCCTCTTGTTTAAAAAACAATGATTAGATTAGCGATAATTACTTAAGATGATTTATGATCTCATTAAGAAATCAATGTGCCATTTTTGCTTACAAATTAATAAAAGTTTTTTTAAAGTTAAGTTATAAATAAAATAAAAGATATATTTTTTTATTTCCTTCCGTATGGTACATATTTCTAGTTTTATTACATTCAAAGTGAAATAAATACATTTTGATTCTTAATTTGCAGTTTTTTTTTCTGTTTTTTATTTGAATTACAATTGTACTCCACGCGACCGCTTACGTCAGTTACTGCATGGGTCGCGCCCTAAAAACTGACGGCTCATGAGGCGTGAAATTTTGGATTTTCTAAACAATTTAAAATTCTGGTCTAAAAGTCTAATTAAAAGTTTATAATAAACGCAAAATCCACATATAAAATCTTTATATATAGTATAGCTGTAGCATGAATGGGTGCTGGGAACTCTCTCACAGAATACCACTGTGTTTCGTATGGTGTGTGTAGAGAACCAGAGATCCGTTTTTAGTGGAAACGAAGCATTCCATCTTAGTAGTCACGGGTGACAACGTATCTGCATTTTGATTCGTAGTCGGAGGATAGATGTAGATGTCTATGGGGCCATAGCAACTACTTACCATCACGTGAATGTGTGCTCGTTTGTCACCATCCTAAAGAAAAAGTGTTACGATTGAAAAATTCATTTATTTACTATTGGTCGAATAAACGCTGTTTGTTTGTTTATATGCAAATCGCTAAATCGTATTCATATAACTATTATATATCTTCTACTACTATTCAAATTTCTCTATTAAAGGGAAGTTAGTAGTAAGCGGAGTTTATAATCACAACGTTTTAATTAAGGCCACATGCCAAAAAATAGTTACGTATATATTTTAAAAAAAGAAGTAAAATCTCATTGGTTTTGGTTATAGATAATTGTTTATAATGACATTTAAAGACATTTCAATATTTGATTTGCTTGCTCAAATACTTTACCACGGATTACCATTTTTTTTGCATTTTAATGAAATTATCGTAAGCTATTACATACAAACGCAAACTAAATGGCTAGAGCAACAAGAATAGCCCTTGATATAGCATTAGGTATGAATTTACTTTGTGTTTTCAAAAGAAACTGTAGCAAATGTTAAGTATTGACAAATTGACAACATAAGGTTCATTGGTTTTATATTTTAAAGTTTCCTGAATTTACAAACGAACAGTTTTAATGACAAATTTGTCTAGAAAATTTTAATATTTGGTATATTTGTTACAGTTTCTCTTAAAACTATCCGACCAGTGGTTTCGAAGTTATGGACAGGTTCTAAAAATTTGATTATAAAAACATCGGCCAAACGTCTTGTTTCCAACGCATTCGTGGCAAAAACTGAACTGGCACTTGACCGGGCAACAGAATACTTGGAAAAGAAAATGACTATACTTCGAGATCGACAACTACCTAAAGAACTAAAATATCTTGAAAAAGAAGTGCAAAAATTAAAGGAAAAACTTAAAAAATAATATTTATGCGTTTTTGTTTCAATTTCTTTAAAAATAGAATAATGTCCTCCAGACTGAAATTCGGCCACGGCGGGCAGCCTCAACGGAGGCTAGCCATCGGCGTAGGACAGGGTTATAGTGCCCAAGTGTATGCACAATCACAGGTGCACTCTCTATTCCCTCACTCTCATAATCCGATGGGACGGTAAACCAACACGACCGAAGGGAGATCAGGCGCAGGACCAACGGCTTTACATGTTCTCTGAGGCACGGGGGTGAGACACCGCTAACTTCCTGATTCCGGGCAGCTACTGAGAATTTCTTGACAGAAAAACTTAATAATTGATTTTTTAGCCCGACCTGGGATTCGCACCCAGGACCTCATGATCAGCAGTCGCACTACTACAACCATTAGACCAACGAGGCAGTCTAATAGAATAAACACAGCCATTTGATGGGTCATTTATTTTATATTCGATTTCTCAAAAAAATTATCCTAGTTTTATTGATAAAATATAGCCTAGATCATCATGGCATGTCTCTCTATCATGAAGTTTCGCCCCCGTCTTTCTTGGGCCATACTTATTTTTTTGCCGGACACACTTTAAAAATGGTTACATATATAAATAGCATGCAGATCACCCCTGATCTTGATAGAAGCCAGTAATATCGGTATTACAGAAAATCAATTATATTTTATTCATATATATATATATATAATCGCAAGAAATCTCAGCCCTAAGTGAACTAAGTTACTTTTAAAACTTTTGAAACATATCAGTAATAATTTGTTGGTAAGCTTATTTAGTCGAGTTAGAAGATTGTATAAATTGATTGAGTAAAAATCTTTATTGAATCTTTACATTTCTGTGAATTAGAATGTCTCACATATTTAACAAAAAAAAAATGTTTTAGCTACTAGCAAAGTTTTAAGGCCAGCAGTTGGCACAGCCTGGAAATATGCAAAAATAGAAATGGTACCTCCATTCACAATCGGGTTTTTTAACGGGAGGAGTGGAAAGAAATTAGAAGAGTTTGTCTCTAATTCTGCAAACAACTTAATTACCAGATTGCAAAATATGAAACGTGAAATGGACGCTGAAAGCGAAAGATTAATGAGACTGAAGAACGAAGCCGTTAAATCAGCACAAGATAAAATAAAAGCTGAAGCCAAGAAGGCCAAAGATCAAATCACACAGAAAGCTAAAGAAACTAATCAAACTATAAAGGAAAAAGTAGAAACACAAATTGAGTCTGGTAGAGAAAAATTAAAAGAAGTTACACCCAAAGCAAAAGATAAGAAAAAAGATTAAAACGTTGAAAAATATAATAAGAAACTTAAATTATATAATTGAAAATTTTGCCGACCTTAATTTTAGAAAAAATTGTGTTTAAAAAATCAAAATATGTATGATATATATATATATATATCTGTTAATGAGATTACTAAAAAATAGATGTCGTATTGAAACTTAACGTAGAATCCTAAGCCCGATATATCTCTATAAAATTATGTTTTAGGACTGTATAAAATATATATTAAAAACAATGAACGACGAACTAGCGTTTACATAAAAATTATAATGAACGTTTTCTAAACAAAATTTAGATAGATCCTAAATAGGTTGTATGTACCAATACCTGCTTTCAATTTCAATAATCATTGTCATAACGATAAATTACCATTATCGGAATAAATGAATAATATTTATTTATTTAAACTACTTATAGAACAAATATAAGTTATATTTTTATATATCAAACATTAAATAATATATCATCATTCATCGTCATCATCGACACTTCACACGGTCTCCTAAGCCACATGCATCTTAGACCATTCAATTGGTTTAAATGGTCTAAGACCCAATGATTTCTTAAATTTACGCGAACACTACACATTGAATAAAACTATTTATACGGATTCTATCGCGTTTAATATACTTATTTTAACTTATTTTTAATTCCCGACGTTTCTGGTACATTACAGCACCTATGGTCACGGGGGGGGGGAGATCTGAGATGTTTGACGTCCCAATGTCACAGTCAGCCCGGCTACCTTCAGTTTTTTAATATTAATTTTGCATTGATCGAAGCGAAAATAGTTATTAAAAACTGCTAATTAAAAAGGCGACTTTACGATAAATACTGCTTTTGAGTAAAATTGCAAAAACACGTGATATAAAGTTTCTATATAATAACTAAATTAATATATTATTATATATATATATTTTTATATATATATTTATATAGTATATATATATATTTATATAGTCTGTAGTCTCTGCCTACCCCTCTGGGTGACAGGCGTGAGTGTTTATGTATGTATGTATGTATGTATGTATTATATATTATATTAATAACTAAATTAGCTTTAGAATGTTTAAAATAATTTAAATAATTTATTGGTTAAATATTTTTCACATTTTATTTATTCTCTTATTTTGAACCTGTCGCGGAAGTAGTCCTCAATTAAGCCTTGTAGGTGGGCAGGTACCTGGAGATGTATTAGTGCCCTCCTGATTGCCGTCCCAGGGTAGAGAGTTAAAGTTAACGATATCGAGATTTATCACCAACGCCATTCCACCCTATGATACTGCTTGTTCTGAGAGGGAGCAGGTGCGCATAAAGGCAAATATAGTGGAACGCTCTCGTCGAAATCCAAACTATCTATCAGCCAATTCCGATCCGACGCGCGACCGTTACCTCAATTACCGCTATACTCTGCAAGATTAAGTAGCGTTTATGGAACTCCAACCTCATGGCATACCCAGAATAGAATGGCCTCCACAGTGACTGCCAGCACGGGTTTCGCTGAAATCGGTCAGCCTTGGTCCTTATAGCGTATGCCACGCATATATGGGGCGAAACACTCGAGAACAGTGCGGAAGCACTTGCTGTTTCCCTTGATGTCTCGAAAGGTTTTGACAGAGTTTGACACCCTAGCCTTTTTCAGCCAACTTTTCAGCGTAGAGCATATCCCCTGGTCTGATTGACTGGGCAAAGCATTTTCTGAGTGAAAATGAATATTCAATGCCTCCACAACACAACATGTCTCTTTACTGTGAAAAGGAGCCAGCACATCTTGGTTACTTCTTTCTAAAATGTATCACTGGAATACACAGACCGTCTACAGTTGTTGGGGTTTAAGATTTCCTAAAACCTGAAGTTCGGGTGATTCATTGAGTCCAAGGCTAAAGGCAGCTTCAAGGAACTTAGGAGTCCTTGCAAAGGTGCGGCGGTGCTTCACACCTGGAAAGCTGCTCACTCTATATAAAGGGCAAGTCCTGCCGTGTACGAAGTATTGCTTCTATATATGGGCTGGTGCCGCAAAATGCCACTTAGCAGCTTTGAACTTAATAGAAAAGCATGTTACCTTCTTACACGGTGTTATCTTCGAGAGAGTCAAGGTACTCGCCGAGCTTGGGACGCAAGTCGTCGTCACCAAAATCTACGAGTTAGGTCAGGAAATATCATCCCGTGGATGTTGTTAGAGGCAATAGAGAGAAACAAATCAGGAGATGGGTAGCAGCGTCTCCCTCACAACGGCTACAAATATTTAAAAAAATTGCGGTTGCCGTCACGCTTGCCAAGCGTGGCGATTATGGCAAATATCCCCCCTATGAGGCATTCTATAGAGGAGACCTATATTCAGCAGTGGACTTTAATAGCCCGTTGCAAAAATTAGCATGTAGGTAGTTGGGAACCACCCGATTTGTGCGGAACTCGGGTGGGTCTGAAGTCAGAGTGGTCTGAGGTCAGTCACTGGGCTTTCACTGCGGTAGGCGGGACCAGGATTCCGCGTTCCATCCGATCGCAGCACGCCTATCGTAGCAATGGGAGAGGATGATGCTGCTGAGCCGGTTCGGTCGGAATCTCTCTCTGCAAGCAGTCGTGTCGGCAACGCTGAATGGAGATTCAGCATGGGGGGCCGAAGCTACCTTCTATGAATCCGTAATGATACAGAAGAGGACAGATGGCTCTGAGACGACGTCGCTAAAGCGTCCGTCACAGCCCTCTCCTTGATGCCGGTGTTTCCTTACGATCCTGAGACTTGTGATTTTGAGCACTGCGAGGGTGCTGATGTACATACTTCATAAAAAGCAAAATAAGAGAAGGGGCCGGTTGCTTTCTGAATGGAGATCAGCGCTTATCAGCTAGGACGCATTCAGCGTTAAACCATCACCAAGATTGTCGAAAAAGTTTAGCTTACTTTTTCTTTTAAACACATAACAGTAAAAAGTGAAAAAAAAAGACAGAAAAATGGCAGTTGAATGAGATGCTGCATTGATAGTCAAGCGATTGGACCCTAATTACTGAGCTCGAAGACCTTTTCTTGCAAGTTAACTAGGGCCGATACAGATGCAAAGATAAAACCTTTTGCTAGCATCATAAACGGAGCGGAGTAAAAGTCTAAAGCGAGCGCTTTTGCTTTATATGTATTTTCCCATAGACAATTTAGTTTTTGGTTATTTTTTAATATCTTGGTGAAAAATTCAGATTTTTAATACAGGAGGAGCAATCCGCCAGCGATCAAGTTACTGCCATCTCCCAATTACGAGGGCAACAGTGAAAATTTTTAGAACTGGCCACTTGTAAACGATATAATACATGCAGATGCAAAGGTAAAACCTTCTGCTAGCATCATAAACGAACGTTCAACAAAAGATTCAATCAAATATTGTGACATTGCGCAGATGTAAGTTAACCACCTCATCTAATCAATTCAAATTAGCTTATTTAATAAATTAGCGAATTGATTAGATAGTAAAAGAAAAAAAAATTCAAATTCAGATTTTTATTGTTAATAACAAACCTTGTCTGAATTGAACTACAAATATTGCCGAAAAATTATGTAAATTGGCCTACGGGTTACGGAGGAGATAGATTTCAAAGAATCGTTTTCTTGCGCCATGGGAGCTCCGCTTACTTCGCTCGCTCCTATCCAATAACAACTTTTCCACGCAATCTTTGTTTTTTTTATGCAAGCTTTGGTTTTTTACGCAAACTTATTTTTTAACATTTTCTGGTAAGCTTTTCATAAAATTAAGAAATTATTATTTAATAATTTCAATCCAAAAGTGTTTGGAGCAATTTTCAAGATACAATTTTTTTAATACATTTTACCCATAAAAATATCAAGTAAGGTTCGTACAAACAGTAATATCTTATTTCATGTTCTAAGGGCATGAATTGTCCAAAATCCTACCTTAGATGACATTTGATATTCAGCTTATGCATTATATAAACACGTTCTAAAACCATTAGGACCAAGTTTTTGAAGTAATTAAAAATGCTTTTTCAAAACTGTAATTCAAAAGACTTTATCTTTGCCACCCTGCTGTCTTCCCTCCTCCCCGTAAGAGGGTGTTTTCAAAATCGCAAAATACGTAATCATTTATTTTATTAACAGAGTACTTTCAGTATGTTTTGAGTCAATCACGTCAATAAAAATATTTGTAATAATTGTAACACCCTAGTCCACCCGGATAGGTGTTGAATTTTTCAGTCCTTTCTTAGTGGATGCCTGCGTCACAAAATGCAGCTACTGTTAAAACTTCAGACATCTATGTTTAGCGGTTTGGGCTATGCGTTGATAGATGAGTCAGTACTAGGGACATCTTTTGTTATATAGTTATAGGCATATATGCTTTCAAACATATAGGTGCTATATAATTTTATATTTCTATATATTTTATTTGTTTGAATAATAGAAAGACCCCTTCTCACAATGTCATGCGATTTTAACCCTTCTCAGTACGTTCTTCGTATTAGTTTGTGCTATACGAACTAAGCCTTAGGAACGAAGCTCTGACAATCTGCATTCATATTTTGTATATAAAATTAAAGCGACAATGAACTCAAAATCCACCTGATCTTAAATGGCACATATGGACACTTGCGACTAACTTCAAATAAGAAAAGCTACACATCTGCGGACATAATATGGAATGCTTTACAGCGTGTTATTACTAATGTGTATACTTGAACCTTCAAGTTTAATTATATATATATATATTTTTTTTTTTGTACCTGAATAACCGAGCTTTCCTCGGTTTTAATTATAACTTTTTATGCAATTAGTTTGATAAAAATTTTCGTATTTTTATACTAAAAAAAGGGCTCGAAATAATAGATTTTCTCACAAAAGAAGGGAACTTAAAAAAAAGGAAAAAATATATCAAAAATCAAAAAAAACGAAAAATATCAAAAATTAACGAACAAGTCAAATGTCAAACATCTGAATCAATGCCAGAACCGAAAGCAACCATTGACAAACACAGATCATAGATTAATCGCGCTCTATAATCTGTCAAAACAAACACTGGATGATGCAACAATTAGGGGTCTATCCAAAGGCTTCAACTTTGCAATTACACCCCGCAAAATTACCGTACGAAGAAATTATCTGTAGTGTCGAGGACTGTTTATTTAAAAACAATATGCGGAAAGAAGATTTGGAGGCGATACGTCAAGACATCTCGTCTATGTTACGTCGATGTTCAGTGCCTAAACCGAATCTTCCCAAAGACGAATTTATAGCGTTAAAGAACCTACGCAATAAACACGAATTTACGATTCTCCGTGCAGATAAGGGAAACGCCACGGTAGTCATGGATACGTCAGATTATAATTGTAAAATACAAGAACTTTTGTCGGATGTAAGTACTTATAAAAAAGGTTAAAAACGACCCAACAAATAGCACACTAAAAACAACTAGTGACCTCATAAAGAAACACTCCGAAAAATTAAATCTGGACGTAAAATGGATAATACCTACGTGCGCCAAATCACCAAAATTGTATGGGTTACCAAAAATACACAAGCTGTCCATTACGTCCCATAGTGAGCCAAATCGATTCACCAACTTACAGATTGGCTCAACACTTAGCGAAAATACTCTCACCACTCAGGGGACATACAAGAGCACACATAAAGGATTCCTACCATTTTGTCAGCGAGATTAAAGACCTACATCTGGCAGACAATGAAACTATGGTCAGTTTTGATGTGCAGTCATTGTTTACATGCTTACCTGTTGAAGACTGCATCTCAATTGTAACTAGAAGGCTGGAAGAAAACAACATGCCCGTAGAATATGCAGTATTACTCAGACACTGCCTTACATCTGGCTACCTATTGTGGAAGGAGGAGTTCTACAAGCAAGTAGATGGTGTGGCGATGGGCTCACCTGTATCTCCCATTGTCGCCGACATATTCATGGAAGACTTTGAGGAGAAAGCCCTGCTTAGTTCTCCCATAAATCCAAGGTTCTACAAGCGGTACGTAGACGACACTTTCACAATTCTACCTTTAGATAAAGTAACTGCATTTTTAGACCATCTTAACTCTATAAATTCTAAAATTCAGTTCACAATGCAGTTAGAGGCAAAAAATTCCTTAGCTTTTCTAGATGTGTTAGTAATTCGGAATCCTGATAACACCTTGAGCCATACTGTGTATAGAAAAAAGACCCATACAGATAGATATTTAAACGGTGATTCTCACCACCATCCTTCACAGTTAGCTACCGTGGGTAAATCTTTGTTTCAGAGAGCACGAGGGATCTGTGACAGTAAACACCTGGCTGCAGAGCTCCACCATGTCAAGCAAGTTTTGCATGACAACGAGCTTCGAGTCCCGCGCCTACGTCACAGTGAACGAGTGAAGCCGGCCACAGTCGAACGTGTACCTGCTGTACTGCCATATGTTAGAGGAGTCACTGACAAGATTGGCTATATCTTGAAGCGCGCTTCCATCAAAACATACTTCAAGCCGCTGAAGAAGATTGGTCAGTTTTTACCATCGGTCAAGTGTAATGTCCCTCTGCAAGATGCAGGAGTGTACAAGCTTGATTGTGAATGTGGTCTCTCCTACATAGGACAAACTAAAAGATCAATAAAAACCCGCGTTAAAGAACATTTAGCTGATGTGAAGAATCGACGCTCCGGGAAGTCTGCAGTCTGTGAACACGTACAGGATCGCCCCCCGTCACTACATCAAATTTGATAGACCTCAAATCCTCGCTAAAGAACACCGATTCCTTCCAAGGATGATTCGCGAGGCTATTGAAATCAAAAAACATCCTAATTTCAATAGAGAAGATGGCTGGGTGCTACCATCTGCTTGGGATCCTATAATAAATAAAATTAAATCCCAACCCAAGCATACAACTGCAAGACTTCAAGATACCATAAGTTCATACTGTATAGATCGGAACAAAAGTTAAATTTTAATCTATGGTAACCGCGGTTAACTATGACATATGGACGTTGAACATCTCAGTCCTGCCCGTGATCATGAGTGCTGTAAAGCGTTCGAAACGTCGGGTATTTACAAAGTTATACGCGATAAATTCCGTAAAAACTAGTATTATTTCAAAATAAATCCTAGCTGGATCGGTTTATTGCCACCCCAAACTTCGTTTAAAGGTATAGGATATATATAGTCTCTTTGGTTATTTATCATAGATTATTTAATAAATATTTCAAAGTTGCTTGTTGGTTGTTTATGATTTAATTTCTTCACAATTATTGACAAATTATTTTGTTCATTCGTCGTGTGAACTGTTTTCACTGTGATATTGTCGAAAATTCGAGAAGTCTAAACTTGTCATCAATTTAAAAAAAAACCTAAATGAATATTACGAAAGTAAAGAGTATTATAACCCGTAAGTGTAGAAAATATCTTTCTTTTCAGTTGTGAACAGATCGAGGCTGTAAGCTCTTACCGGTATTTTGGATTAGTCATTTATAATATGTCTTAGAAATTTCACATAGACAACTATATATAAAGTTTCGCGCATTACTAGGGAAATATTTTCAACTGAATTATGTTGTAAACAGAGCAACACTTTATATTATGATTTACAATGCATTAGTATAATATCCTCCAGACCGTATTTCAGTCACGGCAATCTGCCTCAACGGAGACTAGCCATCGGCGCAGACCAGGATTGTAGTGTCCAAGTGTATGCGCAAGCACAGGTGCACTCTCTATTCCCTCACTCTCATAATCCGATGGGACGGTAAACCGACACGACCGGAGAGATATCAGGCGCAGGACCAACGGTAACGGAGTCATAAAGTTGGCGGGGTAAGACACCGCCAACTTTCTGACTCCGGGCAGCTACCTACTGAGAATTTCTTGAAGGAAAACCTCAATAATTGATTTTTTGCCTCGACCGGGGATTCTAACCCAGAACCTCATGATCAGCAATCACACTACTATAACCACTAGACCAACGAGGCAGTCATTAAGGCACTAGTATATTCAATAATATTATGTGGACTAAACTGTTATGGCCTTTCTTTTAAGATACATCTATATCATATTAAACAGATATATTTTTTTAAATATCTTACAAATAAAAATGTAAAAGTAAATTGTTATAGTAACTACGATAGTCTCTCACTTGCTAGTGCATAGCTCTGTGGATATGTTTAATATTAATAGAGCAGTATGGTACAAATTAATTTAAGCAAAGTATTTGTTACTTACATTACACAAAACCAGTTTTACAAGCAACTTTTAGAAGTTCCTAATTTAGTTAATTATTTTGGTAACTGAACTAGACAATGCATAGTTCCTACAAATTTACATATATGTATATATATATATATACATAGATGTATACATATATATGTATATACATATATATATGTAGTAGATATATATATATATATATATATATATATATATATATATATATATGACTGCCTATAAATTAGAAAAAAGAGAGTGAGTCACTATAAAATTATGAGAAACGGTTAAAACATTTCTGGGAATCTTTATTAAATTAATTTGTATTTCATCATCATCATCATTACAGCTCTTCAAAAGTCCACTGCTGAACATAGGCCTCCCGCAAGAAATGTCACAAAGCACGGTCCTGAGCCACTTGCATCCATCGACTTCCTGCATGTCTTACCAGGTCGTCACTAAATCTAGTGGGGGGGTCGCCCTAAACTTCGCGTACCAGGCTGCCACTCGACAACCTTTTTTTTCCCCATCGGTTATCGGTTCTTCGAGCTATATGACCGGCCCATTGCCACTACAGCTATGATAAAGTATTTAGATTTATAAATCAACATATCATAATATCAGTATATGTAAATCTTTGGAAACAACAGTAATAAACAAAAAAGAAACCGGTTGGCGGACTGTAACCTGGAATATAGTGTACGTCTGTTCTTTACTTAAAAAATTTAAAACAAATAACAGTTTAATTACAATTTAGTAATTTAGAAGCTAAACAGCTTAGCAAACAATAGAGAAGGCGGAGTCAATCAGCGAATCTGTAATGTGACTTACAACAAAAAATCTGTAATAGAGTAGGTACTTTACTGGCAGTAGAACTGGATTAAAGCAACACTCTTGTTGGGAAGAGTTTTATGGAAGCATGATGTAGGATAATTGGCAACAATCGGAGTAATATATACGGGACAATGGGTGAACAGCTTGATAAGGCCTGCGTAATTCAATGGATGACAGGCTTACAAGACCGTGGTATATGTCATATGATAGATGGACTTAAATGAGGATAAAAAGATGAAATTTACTTACATAGGTTTAAAAAAAATTTCTTACTGGAAATTTTATCGAGTTATTAAAATTTTAATGCCCTTTTTATGTAACGCTTCTGAACAAATTCCCATAAAGCAACTGTGTAACTAACCATATTTTATAGCATAAAAACAAGTGAAAACTACAGTGTTTTCACTTGTTGTTATGCTATATTTATATTATAAGTTTAAATTCTATATAAGGAAAATAATCCTAACACTTGCTGTTCTTACACTTATTAAAAAGGTTTCAGATTAGCGCATACATTAACTGAAGTATATGGACCAGTGTTTGGCAGAGGTACAGAAAAACTATCAAGACTTATTTTAGGTATGAAATATATTTTTAATATTTGTCTAATTATACCTTAATTTTATTTAAAAATATACATCTCTCTGTATAATAGAATTCAATTACTCATACTTGTAATTCTAATTCGAGTTTTCTTCTTATTGCCTCTTCCCTTTTTAAATTCTTGTGTGTTTGTATTTGTTTACAGAAACAAGAAATCAGGTGGTAAAATCAAACTTGGCACAGAAAATGAGCGTGGCTAAACGTTACTATACGTTAGAAATGTCTCTTCCATCCTTTAATGAATTTCAGGTGACGTTTATAATTTAACTTTATTCACTTGTCATCACGATCTGATCATCAAATCTGACGTAAAATCGCATATTCACATAAATGGCACTTACCTCATAAATAATAGATAGATGAACTGAAAGTTAGTGTTTTTAATAAAGACATATACTTTCACGTTTAAAAAAGTTTGTTGACCCTACAGGCTATCCCCGTAACTTCCCGCTAATTTCAATATCAAAGTGCTCCAAATTCCACTTATGACAATTTTGAATTGATTATTTTGAAAGACAACTTTTTTATTTTTTTCAAAATTGAATATTTTCCGAACTAATCAACCAAATTTAATGTGGTTTACGGCAATCGACGCAATTATTTCAGCTTAACAAAAAACTTATTACAAAAAATTGATTTCACGGAAAGTTTTCAAGTTATTTTGAAAAAACACGTTTTCGAGATTTACAGCAGACTTCAATTGCGAGCTGATTATATTATATTATGATTGATCAAAACTAGGCTGTCGAATTAATAACAAAAAACCACTTCTTGAAAATTAAAAAAGCTCTAATGTTTGAGGTTTTCCGTGACGATTCGGTTTAAATTCACAGAAAATCTAAGTACTCTAATGTTAGTGGAGATTAATCAGCGAGGCTCTTTCAGATGCAGCATATTGCTTTTCGATCGGACACCCCGTTACAAAGTACATACATACAAACACACATACATACACACATACATACACACATATATATACACATACATACACACATACATACACATACATACATACACACACACACGCACGCACACGCACGCACACGCACACGCACACGTACTCGCACACGCACACGCACACGCACACGCACACGCACACGCACACGTACACGCACACGCACACGCACACGCACACGCACACGCACACGCACACGCACACGCGCACGCACACGCACACACACACACGCACACGCACACGCACACGCACGCACAAGCACACGCACACGCACACACACGCACATGCACACGCACATGCACACGCTTGCACACGCGCACGCACACGCACACGCACATGCACGCGCACGCGCACGTGCACACGCACAAGCACACGCACACGCACACCCACACACACACGCACACGCACACGCACACGCACACCCACCACACACACGCACACGCACCCGCACACGCACACGCACACGCACACGCACACGCACACGCACACGCACACGCACACCCCCCACACGCATGCCACGCACACGCGCACGCACACGCATGCACACGCACACGCACACGCACAAGCACGCACACGCACACGCATGTACGAGCACGCGCACGCGCACACGCACACGCACACGTACACGCACACGCACACGCACACGCACGCCCACACACACACGCACACGCACCCGCACACGCACACGCACACGCACACGCACACACACACGCACACGCACACGCACACGCACACGCGCACGCACACGCACGCACACGCACACGCGCACGCACACGCATGCACACGCACACGCGCACGCACACGCATGCACACGCACACGCACACGCACAAGCACGCACACGCACACGCATGTGTACGAGCACGCGCACGCGCACACGCACAAGCACACGTACACGCACACGCACACGCACACCCACGTGCACTCGCACGCGCACACGCACACGCACACGCACACGAACACGCACAGGCACACGCACACGCACGTACATGCACACGCACACGCACGTACAAACGACATGCACGCGCACGCGCACGCGCACGCACATGCACGCTTACTTCGCCGGGTCACATGCTCAAAGGTAAAGGGCAAAGTAATTGAAAAAAAATGTTCAAACGTTTAATGCTACATTTTTGTTTGTATATTTTTTTATATATCAGTGCCATAGGCTTCTACTCTGTTCACATGTTTTTTCTAGAAGGTTAAAAAGATCATCCAGTATAGAATAAATAATAATTTATAACGTAATGAAATAAATAAGATTAATGTAGAGGAACTTTTAATGTTATACTCATAAGTCTGAAGTGTGGAAAGAAAAAAATAAGTTATGGTAATCATATTAATAGACCTAATTGCAGGGTGCGGACCGCGAACTTAAAAGGGCATGGGTTCGAATCCGCCATTCGAGTACTATCCTGAACCACTCCTAAAACAAGTATTTTAAGCTTATCAGGAGTCGTTAAAGGAAATGCCAGTAATGCCAATAGAATTGCTAGTATTTAAAAAAAGATGTGTTATACTAGTCAATTCGACTATCGAAAGTTGGTTACTATGAACTGGGTTTTCTCTAGATCAAAATATGATAGAGAATTCTTAGTATTTTCTTTATAGATGATTCATGTACTTAGCTCCCGTAATACCGAGTGGAAACTTAGAAACCTTCCTTGTGAATCAACTATTCCCCCTTTTTAGAGAGTATTGAATAATCTGATGGCTATTGAATATTTCATCGGTAGGGTTAAGAAGCAAATATTAATACCGGTGATGGAAGTATAAGATATTTCCTCATAAGTACTCTTTTCACGACTTTCCTATGTGCAATGATAATAGTCACAAATCATAACAGAATTAAAATTGATTGTATTTTTAGAAGACTTCAAAAAACAGGACGTGCTTTATTCATTTGTCATAAGATAAGATTATAACATAAAGTATCCCTGTTGTAACATAAAGTAGTTATCGAAAAATACTCTTCTATCTTGATTATTTTGATAGTATTATTTAAAATTTGGAAAAACCAAAAGTGCACGCCTCATGAGCGTTTTTTAAAATATAATAAAGAAATATCCTTTAAACGTCTATAAGTCTGATAACAACCATCAATAGGGATCATCCTGAGGATAAATAGAAACTTATTTAGGAAAAAATATAAAAAATATCAAAACGCACACGCACCACTGTACGTTTCAAAAGGAGTTTTCTTCCGCGTACAACCTCTCTGTGGAATAATTTACCACCAGCGATTTTTCCGGACCGATACGACCTGGGGACCTTCAAGAAAAGAGCTTACTCCTTTCTAAAGGGCCGGCAACGCGTCTGCAATTCCCCTGGTGTTGCAGTTGATCATGGGCGGCGGTAGTCACTTAACATCAGGTGAGCCACATGCTCGTTTGCCCCCCTCTTCTATAAAAAAAAAAAAAAAAAAATATTTCGTTGCGTATATTTTTCTGAAACATGAAGACAAACAAGTGCACAGACTAACTGACAACCGTACTAATAATTTTTTAAATTTCTTTTTTTTGAGATATAACTAAACAAATGAAAAAAAAAAATAAGCTGACTTTATAATTTAATATATTAATTTTAAAAACATCCCTTTTGTATTGATTTAGTGTCTACATTGAGATATACTAACATACTTTTCCGGAATGGCTATACTTACTAATATTACTCAGCACTCCCACAAGCTCGCGTGTTGTTATTCGTACGACATTAAAAATATATTTTTTTTAATTTAAATTTTAAACCCTTTCCCTGTCCCATGAATGATATATGAACATTTCTTTTGTTTAACTTAAGTTTTTTATAGTGTCTTTATCGCAGACAAGGAACCTGTTAAGATTAGACCTAAGTAATAGACACCTTTTGGAAATATCGCTTCCTTCGAGACACTACAAACTAAATATTATTTTTAACCGAATTCAAAAAGGAGGAGGTATTTAATACGAACATATGATTTTTTGTGTATTCTTTTTATTTGAAGGCTGGTGCTTCTCGTGTGGTCCCATATAAATGTGATCAAATTTGACCAGTAGTTTATGAATTATCCTTAAGAGGATAGAGTAAGTCAGCTCAAATTCTAATTTCTCCCCCACTTCCCCGCGCGTCGTATGCTATGTACCGATATGTTTGTAATCACTAATACTGTAAGTAGAAAGGTCGTTAGACACTTATTTCATTAGGTTTATCATATTTATGCCTGTTTCTTAAAGCCAAGCCAGCCGCTTCTTATTTTTATCACGGTTATTTCCCATTTTAATTTTACGTCGTACTGTTGCGTAATGTATATTCTGATCGTAAGCGACACAACTTCTCCCTTCAAAAGCCTAAGCGATACTAACGGGGCGACTGGAATCAAGCTCAAGACGCCGATAGTTTAGGTAATTTCTTTTTACAGTGAAAATAATGGTATTTTAAAAAAAGTAAATAACATAAGCACTGCTTTATAGTTAGTTCAGTTAGTATGCAAAGTTTCATGATCTTATTTAAAGTATTTTAAGAATAACAGCGGTTTATTTGTTTATTTTGGAGGTAACTTTGGATTTTTTTTCTATCGAGAAAATTTTACGAAATCGTGTTTTCGTCTAACATAATCATTAACATTAATCCTCAACTTTACCATATATTTATTTCAAAATTAATGCTGCAATATTTTCGGCATAACGAAGGATCTTGCTAAGCCATTTGACATTATATTTCCCCTTAATAATGCGTATTTAATTGACTTCGACTACATTGATGATGTTCTCATTTTAATATATATATATATATATATATATATATATATATATATATATATATATATATATATATAATTATAATTGATATAAAATATTATATATATTTGATATAAATATCTTTACATAAAATAACATACAAAGTATTCCCTATCATAATATAGTGTGTAAATATATCTGAGTGGGTCATGGGCAAACCTTAGTAGCGAACACAACTATTGTTAAAGCTAGGTCTTTTGTTACGGTATATTTGACATCGTTCGATACATAAATGAAACTTTGTTTAAAACTTGCTCATCATTGAAAGTAATCTACCTATATAAAGATAGACGAAAGGGTGTTTTGTACGTCATTAGACTGACAAATAAAGCTATTTTTCCACAGTCCAACTGATGGCTGAGTGATCGTTTCACTCTACGACAACAGATGCATTTTAGCTCCAGAGAGCTTAGGGTTCACATCTCAGACAGCTAACCGGCAACGGCGCGCAACTTTAGCTCGAGCCGACCCAGCGATACAGCGTGTATGAGATCTGTGTGTCTAATGCGAGCTCCACAAAAATATTCGAATGACTTCACCATCGCGTTAACCGAGTTAACTTCATCGGTATCAAGTATCAATAAGCGAAGACAAGCGAGTGTGAGTTAAGCTAACCTTTCGATTCGCGTTTGCTCACTGCGAATGTCGTTCATTCTTATGTTGGTAGTATGTTCGCCTCTACCTATAGAGGTAGGGTTCCGTAGTTGCCCGTTGTACGTAGTCCGACATGCACTTTTCCGGATTTTATATTTATTCCTTTTTATTATATAAAAATTACTAGCAATATTATCAGCATTACTAATATTCCTTTTAACCACTCCTGGTAAGCTTAAAATGCTTATGTTAGGAGAGGTTCACAATAGTAGTCAAATGGCGAATTCGAATCCACGACTCTTTGGAGTTCGCGGTTTTTTCAATGCCATTGGATTTTCGAGCTATAGTTGTCCAAGAAGTGGATGGATGCAGATCGTGCTTTGTGGTGTTCCTTAAGGATTGTCAATATTTGGTGGACATGTGACGAGCTGTAATGATGATGGTAATAAGATACTTTGGAAATCTTAGCTGCCCCTCTCAGTTCCATCATCGGATCACCGGACGCACGGCTGATTTCCACCCCTGTGTTCTCGACTTACCGCGCATTCAAATCATGAGTTTGCTTCGTCGTTCAAAATGCGTAGAGCAGAGTAGTGGAATAGTTTGCCAGCATCTGTGTTTTGATCCGTTACCAATGCGAGTGTCTGAGAAACACTGACGTATTATACATAAAATAAGTTTACATTTATGCCCCTCCCCCTAGATAGAGTACCAACCTGGTAAGATGCATGAAATAGATAGATGCAGGTGAACTAGGACCTTGCTTTGTGGCGTTCCTTAGAAGACGACGTTTAGTGTACTTTTAATGATGATAGTAATAAGATACTTTGGAAAATTTTGGGCTTCCTTTCACCAAAATAGCTTTTTGTATTTTTAATGTTTACTTAATTTCTGAGCTTAATTTTTTTATTTCAGAGGTTGCAAGAAGATGTAGAACTTGTTAAGGACTTTATAAAATCTGGATGTTACAAATATTTAACAGTAAAACAAGCATGGCTTTTGCTTCTCATGTGCACGGAAGTAGGTTTATGGTTTTTCATGGGCGAAACTATTGGAAAAATGCATATTGTTGGTTATAAAGTTTAGATTATTAAAATTGAGATAAACTAAAAACAAAAAATCAAAGCTTTCAATTTGATTTTTTGTTTAGATATTCTCAAAACGATCTCTATTTACAATTTAAATAAAACAGAATAAATTAACACTGTATTTTATATCTCCATCCTCTGTAATACCACCAATACCACTTGTATTGACATTTCGTTTTGTATACCTAAGGCCTAATACACTTATTATAAAACAGCTTATCACTTCAATGATTAGAATACTTTTGTTATGGTTGTATAATCAACAGTCTACGTTAACGGATCAGTTACAAGAATGGGCAATGAGCCCGCAGTATAGCACTAAGAACTAGAGATGAGCCGAATATTCGTTTTATATTCGGTATTCGGCATATTCAGCAGCTTACTATACTTACTTATCCTCACGCACAATCCCTAACGGGGTAGCCAGAGAGAACAGATCGCCAAGTGTCACGATCCTTACATACCTCTTTCGCTTCTTTCAGGTTCATTATCTTCTTCATACATGCACGTCTAGGTATCCGAGTACTCTTGACCTTCCCTCTTACTCTTCCAGCCTTACCGAATATTCGTATTGGGCCGAATATTCGGCTAAATCATCGAACATTCGTTTTTATAGTGTCACCTGTATTGTGTGAATGTATATGTACCTGTATTGTATATGTACGAATTGAGTAATACGATATCTATTATTGTTGAAAGTATATTTTATTTATGGGTTAAATCTACTTAATCTATAGTGCCTCAAATGCATAAATCTATACTTACATTTATGTTTTTGAGGCACTGTAGATTTATTTCCGATTATAGCAAATAGAAACTTAATAAAATGTTTTTGGAATCAAACAGAGAAACATTACATTACATTAGTACATTTCACTTTACTTTGGTCATCAGTTTCTCTAAAATAAGTTCAAATCTCCTGCCGCTCACTTTTATCATATAATTATCATTTTTCACTAACAATAAAACAACGAAATACTTTTTTATCACAAAAATAGTCAAAATATAAGCATGTGCCAGCAATTTCCTCAGTACTAGATGATGCAATAACCGTCAGGTGTGGCGGGGAGCGAGAGGCAGGGTCTGGCGCTAATCCCGCGCGCTTGACGGTAACCAGTTTTGACATAAAGTGGCTGGGTCCCGAGGTCATCCTGCCAAATAATGTTCGGCCGAATATTCGGTTCGGTAAAAGTTTTACCGAAAATTCGGCCGAATATTCGTATTCGGTGAAATCCATATTCGGCCCATCCCTACTAAGAACCGTCAACCGATGGGGAAGAGTTGTTTTCGCGTGTCAGCTTCGTACAGGTAAACGAATTTAAGGGCGCCCTCCATAAGATATCCCACTGAATAAGGCTATTCATGCGGCGGCTAGACTCAAAGCAAAGGAGAGCGGATATAAATATGTGTAGGTGCGTAATATGGCAGAATATTTATGAGGAAGACCGATGAGAGTGACTATATTCTGGTAAAAATTTTAGAAACTCTAAAAAAACTTATTTAAGTAATTCTTTTTGTTCCTTTCTTTCTTATTGACTGTTATATGGTAAGGTTTTTAATAAAATACGATACGCTAAAATTGTACTATCAAAATTGTAGTGGTCTTAAGACCAAAACACATGGTTTCTATAATCAAATACTATATAACAACTATGAAATAATAATACTCACTGAGACCTGGCTAAATGATTCTGTTTCGAGTAGTTAACTTTTTGACCCTAGATATGTAGTATATAGGAGAGATAGATCTTCTGCCAGTAGTACCCAGAAAGAGGGAGGGGGATTTTAATAGCAGTATCTAGGAAATTAAAATCAAAGCGTTTAAAAGCTTGGAAGTCGGATCTGGAGGATTTATGGGTTTTAGTCGAAGCGCCAGTTTCACACTCAATTTATCAAATTGCTTTCTGTGCCATTTATTTACCATCTCCTGTAAAAAGTGTAACTTATGATAAATTTTATGACACATGTACGAGCATCCTGGAAGAGAAGTGTCTACATTATAAAGTGGGTGATTTTAATCTATTTTCCATAAATTGGAGCTTGTTAGATGAGGATTCTGCGAAATGCGAGCTTTCCACTGTTAGTCAGTCATTTATTGATTTTTTAAACGTCAATGATTTGAAGCAGTACAGTCGTATAAAGAATCAGAGTTTAAATAGAACACTTGATTTGGTTATTGCAAATTTACCAAACTGCACAGTAGAACAGGCTCTTTGCCCCCTCAGTAAAGTTGACAGGCACCATCCTCCTCTTGACATAAGTATTAAGCTATTAAATGAAATAAGATTACCTTATAACACTGAAAACGTGCAATTAAATTTTTATAGAGCTGACTGTGATAGTATTTGTAAAGAATTAGCGAGTTGTGATTGGGTCAAGCTACTTGATGGGTTGAAAGATGTAAATAATATGCTACAAATTTTCTACCAGAAAATTCGTTATATTATCAAAAAATTTGTCCCCAACAAATCGTCAAGGAACAACAACTACCCACCTTGGTTTGATCGGAATCTAATTAGAACTCTAAAAGAAAGGTATAAAGTTAGGTGTCGTCACAAGAAATATAAAAATCGTAGAGATGAGCTTGAACTGCAATTGCTAATTAAAAGATGTACGCAAATGGCCACAAATTGCTACAACAAATATATAAAACTAATAGAGTGTGACATAGCAAAAAACCCAAAACTGTTTTGGTCCTTTGTCAAGGTGAAACGTGGTGGTTCAGGCGCCTATCCCCTATCAATGACTGACGGTACGACGGTAACTTCTGATGGAGTGGAAACTTGTGAACTTTTTTCTTCACACTTTTCATCCGTGTACTCTGAAAATACTAAATGTACAAAGCAGGATTATGTTTATGACCATTCAGAGTCCTTGAAATTAAATGAAATTAATAGTTTTCACCTAGCACAGCTGAAAATTGATCATGATATCCTATTAAATAAATTAAAAAGCATTAAATGTAATAAAGGAGCAGGTCCTGATGGAATCCCTCCAGTGTTTGTAGTCAGATGTGCTGATCACCTTGTTAATCCACTATTAATTATATTCAATTTTTCTCTTTGTACTGGGCAATTTCCTACTCTATGGAAAATAGCTAAAATCGTTCCGGTTCATAAAACGGGCAGTGAGGATTATGTAAGAAATTACAGGCCGATCTCTATATTATCAGTCTTTGCTAAATTATTAGAGTCAATTATTTGTCCTTATATTCAGAGACATATCAATCTTTATTTAACCACTAGCCAACATGGGTTCGTTAAATCTAGGTTACGAGCACTAATTTGGTACATATTACGGAAATACTAATTGAAGCACTCGATGCGGGGAAACAAGTCGACGTAATATATACTGATCTTAGCAAAGCATTTGATCGGGTCCCACATGACATATTGGTTCGTAAGTTAGCTGCCTACGGCTTTACTGGTAGTATGTTAAAATGGCTAAAATCGTATTTAAAGGACCGAGCGTTTTTTGTGGTGGTGAATGGATATCAGTCAGGCTTAAAAAATATTAATTCTGGTGTGCCCCAAGGGTCTCACCTTGGACCGATTCTGTTTGGGGTGTTCGTAAATGAAATTCCAGAATTGATGAAATGGTCTCGTGTGTACTTGTATGCGGATGACTTAAAAATTTGCAAGACGATTGTGGAAGAGAACGATTCAATAAAGCTACAGAACGATTTTGATCAACTGTTTAAATGGTGCAAAGTAATCGTATGGACTTAAACATTAGTAAATGTTTCTATGTGCAATTATCTCCTTCCAAATAATATATATATATATATTTAAGTGGTCACTTTACGTGGTAAAGCCATGCTGCAGCTATAATAGTTGTAGTACAAATGGGTTGGCTGGACCAGGGAGGACCACGCTCTCACGGAATACCAGCGTAAAATAGCAACTTAATACTGCTGTGTTCGATGCTGTTGAGTTTCGTATGGTGAGTGTATAGATATATAGATAGAGTGTGTAGTGAACCTTTTTACTGGAAACGAAATAATACATCTTAGTCCTTGACAACTCATCTGCATTTTATTTTTAATCTATGATAAACGTAGATGTCTATAGGCAACAGCATTCACCATAGACTTATCGTTCATAAAAGATAGCTTGATCTATGCGACAGCTGTCAGTAAAAATCAGGCCTATGAAGTCCTGAATTTCTTAGTAGTACAGACACACTGACCTCTATATATACCTTGTATATATAGAGGTCAGTGTGCAGACAGTACCCGTCAATGTCATACTTTATGGGCATGCACTAATTAGGTCGTCGCAGAGATCAAGCTATCTTTTATGAACTACAGAATATATTACCATCCTAAGTCTATGGCATCCACTTACCATCAGGTGGTCTGTGTGCTCGATTGGCACCCTTATTCTACATTTAAAAAAATGTCGTAGCAGTGCCCTCTGTGTACGTCCCGTGACACTAAGTGTCGATTAAACAAACACAGTTATTATTCCTTGTGAAACCCATACTAAGTCTAAGGATAATTTGGCAGAAATATACCGGCGTAATTGAAGTAGATTTCGTAGTGAACTTTACACGATATATTTTTAATTATACAAAGATAGCATGAAATTCTGCATTATTCAACTGTTTTTATGTAGTGTAGAAGTAAGGAATACAGACTGTATAAAAGTGTCCGTAGGAAAGCGCTTAATAAGGGTGGCACCACTGTAGCTACAGTCTAAATTTTAAAGAACTTTTTATAATTTTTTTATTGCACAGACTTTTACCATAAATTTTTTACAATAATTATTATATTGCTTTCAAAAATTTTATTTACAAAACCACCCTAAACGTATTTTACAGTGATTTATTATACCATGTAACTATTAGAGCGCTGTTGTGGATTGTTTTTGAACTGTTATTTACTGCTTACGGATGGACACATTTTCAACTATTCTCCTATGGGAGATTGTCCTCCTTACCTCTATATTCCATGTATGTTTTGTTGTAAGATATCCGATTATGGAGTGTAGAGGTAAG